ACTCCACAACTTAGAGGCCACAGCAGACGCCTGGAAAAGGAAAGATCGTCCAAACTCCAGCGAAAAAAATTTTTGACTAACCGCATAGTGTACCCGTGGAACTCGCTGTCAGAAGAAAGTGTTTCAGTACCAACTCTCAACTTATTTAAAAACAAAATTGATCAAGAAATGAATACCTTGAGTTCTGTACATTTGCATTACGGCCAGTAAACTCGAAAAAATTACGCGCAACATAAAAAGACAGTAGACTCATCGGTATTTTTATACCGCTTTCTATTGTGTAAATAATAATAATAATAATAATAATAATTGCAGAACACAAAAAAAGGCGTATCAATAAAATTTTACAATACAACTCTTAAAATTATATCTATTTACAATCTTGTAAATAGATATAATTTTAAGACTTATAAAATATTAAATACTTGACCTTTGACCAGTGTGTGAGATGATCAAAATTTTAAAATTCAAAATTGTTCATGCTTAAATATCAACAAAAAAATCGTTTACCGCATATAGGGCCCTCTCCAGTAAGTATAATTTCAGAGCTTTGCGAAATGCGGAAAAGAATGAAAGCGACTTGATATTCAAAGGCAGATGATTGTACATTTTTTTGGCATTGTACAATATTGAACCTTTAAGTAGTTCTGAGCTCGGGGTTGGCAGATAAAGATCGTGCTCTGCATTGCTAAGTGGATAGTTATGAGATGGCCTTTCGGGAATAGCAGATATATATGCTTGCGGATTAAGCAAACGGATTCAAAAATGAATAAAGAAGGAAGAGTCAGTATTTTGAAATTTTTAAAGAAATTCTGCCAGTGAGTTCTACTGTTCAGTCCCAATAAATATGGGACTGCTCTCTTTTGAAGTCTGAATATACGATCAAATTTTGTTGCGCAGCAAGTACCCCAGAATGGAAGGGCATAACGAAGATATGACTCAAAAAGGGCATAATAGGCTATACTAGAGGTTGATAAGTTAAGTTCCTTAGATTTCCACAACATTCCACCACAACAGTTCCACAACATTCCGCCACCCAAAATTTTGACTTTGTTCGATGTTTCATAACTTTTTAATTTGAAATATGATTTTTATGATTATGGTATTAGTGTGTAGATAAATTTGTTGGCGTTATTTTTTTATTATCGGCATTATTTGTTATTATGTATATATATATATATATATATATATATATATATATATATATATATATATATATATATATATATATATATATATATATATATATATATATATATATATATATATATATATATATATATATATATATATATATATATATATATATATATATATATATATATATATATATATATATATATATATGTGTTTTTTTTTCTTTTCTTTGACCTCTCAATATATATTTTATTTAATTTTTTCTTCGCTTTAGGTCAGGTAAAATGAGAAAAACGTTTTTTTTTATATTAAATATTTCATGACGTTTCGACCTGGTAGGGTCTTTATCAAAATTTATTACTAAAAAAAAAAATTTTATAGTCACATTATGAACGTACTAATTAAAAATAATAGTAATATATATATATAAAAATTCTATTTTGTTACCTTGAACGTAGATTGTTTACTTATTACAACTTATCATTTTCTTTCTGAAATCTATTTTTATAAGGTGGCATGAGAGAAAAAAAATATATAAAAAGCCTACCTTAGCGAAGAAAATATATCCAAATTGGTTTCCACACACATAACACAAACATATCAATAAAGTCGTCACAATTTTTGCACAGAGACATACACATTTAATGGATTTTACAACACTGAATAATATATCTTACTCAGGTTGTTTATATCTATCCTATCATTAACAGAGTGTTGGTTTTTTTGGATAGCAATAGATTCAAGAATTTCTCTTTTTTTGGTATTATATTCGGTGCCAATTATTTTTGTACTTTCAAAGTCAAAACTGTGATTTTTTTGGATTTCATGCAAAGTTAGGGCTGTTTTATTTTTCTTGTCGTATTTATGACCTTTTAAACGGTTTTCAAGATACTGACTGGTTTGTCCTATATAAACTCCACTGCAATTTTTGCAGGGTATTTCGTAAATTAGATTGCTTTTTTTGTTTTTCGGTGTTTTTGTCTTGAGCCTTGAAAAGTTACTCGCCAATAAATTGTGTGATTTGTGACATACATTGAGATTATAACTACCAAGTAAATGTTTTATTTGTTGTGACAGTCCGTTCACAAAAGGGATAGAAATGTATTTTTTATTGTCCTTATTTATAGGTTTACTATGTTGGTGTGAGTTGTAAAATTTGTGAATTCGTTTTTTAAAAATGTTATTAATTATGTCATGTGGGTAGCTATTTAATTTAAGAGCATCCTTAGCTTTAATTATCGCGTTTTGTCGATATTCTGGGTCTGATAGTTGTATTGCACGATCTGCTAGCCCTATAATTACAGATTTTTTTTGGTTTATGTGATGATGAGAATTATAATTTAAATAACGAGAAGACCATGATTTTTTGGTATACCATTCGGTTCTGATGTTTCCATTTATGTTATGTAATGTTAAATCAAGGAAGTTTATTTTATTTTCTTGTTCAATTTCGATGGTAAATTGTAAATTTTTATTATAAGAATTAAATATTGTTAAGATGTTTTCAACTTGATTTTTTGGGACAGCCATTATACAATCGTCAACAAATCTAAAGAAAAACGGTATCGAATAGGTGATTTTTGAGAGTACTGTTTCCTCTAAGTCCTCCATTACTATTTGTGCTACTGCACTTGAAATCGAAGCACCCATTGCGCAACCCTTTATTTGTTTATACAGTTCATTTTCGTATTGAAAAAAAGTTGAATTTAATGTGAGTTCAGTTGCGCTTATAAACTCGTCAAAGGGGATGTCAGTATATTTTTTGATGTTATTCCACTTATTTTTAATGATTTTTAGTGCTAGAGCTATTGGAACATTAGTGTATAAAGATACAACGTCTAGGGAGACAAGTACATAATCTTTTGGAATTTTAATATTTTTAGTTTTTCTTTAAATTGAAAAGAATCTTTTAGATAATAATCGTTTTTGTATATTATATTGTTAAGTATATTTTTGAGATATTTTGAAAGTGAGTAAAATGGTGACTGGGTACATGAAACAATGGGGCGCAATGGGATGCCATCTTTATGTAATTTAGGGAGTCCGTATATTTTTGGTGGGATAGCATTGCGAATTTTTAGCCCTTTTGCAACATTGGGTGAAATATATTGGTTATTCTCCCATTTATCGATTAATTCGTTATTTTTAATTTGCTGTGTGTTTGTTAGGTCACGCTTGATTTGTTTATATGTTTTTTTATCATTTAATAGTTGTTTCATTTTTTTATTATAGTCAAGTGACGTCATTATTACCGTTTTGTTACTTTTGTCAGCTTTTAGAATTTTTAAATGAGAATTTTGGTTAAGAAATTTTTTTGTTTTATATAGATTTTTGTGAATTTCCGTATTTTTCTTTCGGTTTTCTATTTTGTTTTTAAAATTTGAAATAATGTTACTAGTTTTACTTCTTATTTCATCTTTTTGATTATTTGTAAGGTGTTGAAAGCCCGTTTCTATATTACTTATGATATCTTTTGTAGGTAGTTGTTTTTTATTCACAATTTCCATGGCAAAGTTCGGTCCATAACTCAAAACATTATTAGCATAATCAGGAATGGCAGTATTTGTTAAATTTTCAATCCAGCCACATACAGTTCCAGAATTTTTAACACTATTTGCTTTACTGGTTTTTTTGTTTTTTTCCAAGAGGTTTTGAATTTTTTTCTGGTTTTTTAATTTTATGTTTTGAAACAGTTTTTCGTTATTGGCAATAGACACAGTTTTAAATTTTTCGAAAGTACAAAGTGGTATCTTCTTCCTGAGATTCTCCTCTAAATTACTTAATTTATTTTCTAGCTTTTTAAGATACATTGAAGTGTCTGAAATTAACAAGTTTAAAACTGCAAATATGAAGTTACTTAGTAGATAACAATTAAATTTACGTTCAAGGTTTACATCTTGAAAAAGAATGTGTGAAGTTTTAATATTTAAAAAGGTGGGTTTTAAATTTTCGTGTTTACATCTCAATAGGAATATTCTTCTATTTTTTTGATTAATTATTTTTGTCGATGTTTTTTTGTATTCCCTGATATTCTGGGCAACATCTTCTCCGTATAGTTGTTGGAATGTTTCAAGTTGTAGCATTGAGCTGAAATCTGGTTATAACCGTTTAAATCAAGTTAAGAATTAAATAGTTCGTCCAAATTATTTTAAAAATAGGTAAAGATAAAATGTATCTCTCTCTCTCTCTCTGTCTCTCTCTCTAAAAAATGTAAAATCAATTTAATAAAAAAGAATATCAAGACCACTACCACACTACAGGTACGATTCTATTAGATAAATTTTAAAAAACGTGGTTCCATCAGACAATTATTTATTGCTTTGCACGTGCTAAAAAACAAAATCCAAAAAAATGCAATACGAAGAGACGATGATTTAAATTATTAAAAAAAAATATTATTAATAAGAAATTAATATATATATATATATATATATATATATATATATATATATATATATATATATATATATATATATATATATATATATATATATATATATATATATATATATATATATATATATATATATATATATATATATATATATATATATATTCATTTTTTACTAATTGTTTACGATGGGTTTTTATCGAAGTATAAGTGAGGTGAAACTTGATATGATGTTGTTAGTGAGTCCTTTTACCAGTGGGATTCTTCTATAAGTTGTGTAATCCATTTCATCCCGTGGTCCGTCGTGTACGTTTGTGTTATAAATCAGTTTTTTCAAAATATTCCTCGGATAACCATTATTTTTAAAGATGTTAAATAGCTTATTTAAATTGTTTTGTATTGAACTTTTGTGTGATATATAACTCACTCTGTTTTTTATGGCTCTTATAGTATTGTATTTTTGCGATGTAGGATGGTTGGAAAAGAAGTTAAGGTATCTACCCGATGCAGTAGGTTTCTGGTACCAATTAAGAAGCTGAATGACAGCACTACCAGGATTAAGCGCACTTTAAAAGAACAAATCCCGGATGACATCTTTAAAGAGTACGACAAAAGACAGAACCTTAAGTACAAGAAAATATTTAATTCAGTCAAACAACAGAATATAAGGAAGTTTGATAACTTGAATAGTAAGGAATTGCATATGAATTTTTTTAATGATAATTCAAAATGGTTTAAGAATCTTTCAAATATTGATATACCTAAAGAAATCGCCGATTTTCTATCTCTTGGACCAAGGTTTGGAATACCTTGCCAAAAAAACGATATTAAACTGGACACGTTCCTCGCAGACATAGAGAATGTAATTGAAGCCATTCCAGATGAATCAAAAGATACATTAAGAGCACGGGTTACAAATATTACAACAAATTTCTTACAGGGTTCGAATAACAATAAACCAACAACTATTAATGTATTATATAAACAAACCAAAAGCTTTCTAAGTAAAAATCCTGAATTGTATATAGTACAATCGGATAAGGGAGGGTGTACTGTCGCTATACATAAAGCAGATTATATAGAGAAAACGCAGGAATTATTAAAAGACAGTCAAACCTACATTGAATTAAAGAAAGACCCAACCAGTTCAATACAAACGGCTTATAATAATCTAATAAAGAAAATTAGAAACGCGAAAGAATTTACCGATGCGGAGGCAAAGAATCTGACCATCTATAACTCAGTCACCCCTAAGCTGTATTGCTTACCGAAAATACACAAAGAGGATATACCATTTAGACCCATTGTAGCTTCAATAAAATCCACTACATACAACATTTCAAGGCAGTTGGCTGATATTTTAAAATTGGCTTTTGAGAACAGTAATAATTATAGCGTTAAAGATACTTTCGCATTTGTGGACGACATACAAACCAAAAGAGTTCCGGACGGCTATGTATTGATTTCCTTAGACGTAATATCATTGTTTACTAACATACCAATGGAGTTAGCACTCGAAATCGTTGACGACAAGTGGGAACAAATAAAAAAAGTCTCTAAGATATCCAAGGAAAATTTTACAAAATTATTACATTTCATATTCGATAATACGTATTTCATTTTCAACAACAAATTTTACAAACAAATCTACGGAACTCCAATGGGTTCTCCCATTAGTCCAGTCTTAGCCAATATGGTTTTGGACTACACATTTGATAAGGTGCTAACTAAATTGCCATTCAAATTTCCGTTTTTGTACAGGTATGTCGATGACATTATTGCTGCAGTCCCAAAGGATTCCATCGAATTAACAGTGAACATTTTTAACTCATTTAATGAGAAAATTCAGTTTACGGTCGAATGTGAAAAAGAGAATAGCGTTCCATTCTTAGACACAAGATTAATAAGACAGGACGATGGGGAAATCATACTGGATTGGTACCAGAAACCTACTGCATCGGGTAGATACCTTAACTTCTTTTCCAACCATCCTACATCGCAAAAATACAATACTATAAGAGCCATAAAAAACAGAGTGAGTTATATATCACACAAAAGTTGAATACAAAACAATTTAAATAAGCTATTTAACATCTTTAAAAATAATGGTTATCCGAGGAATATTTTGAAAAAACTGATTTATAACACAAACGTACACGACGGACCACGGGATGAAATGGATTACACAACTTATAGAAGAATCCCACTGGTAAAAGGACTCACTAACAACATCATATCAAGTTTCAGGGATTTTCCACATATAAAAATGGTAAAATATAACACACTTAAAATATCCCATCTATACAGCCAAATCAAAGACAAAACCCCAACACTTTTCAAGTCTGATGTAATATATGAGATACCATGTGACGGTTGCCAAAGAACATACATAGGACAAACTAGTCAGTGGCTAAAACAGAGACTATCATTGCATAAAAGTGACTGTCGTACACATAAAAAGAGATGTGCATTGGTGGACCATCATTTGGAAACGGGACACACGTTCACTATAGATAAAGTAAAGGTTCTAAAACAGGAATCAAATTATAAGCCGTTTATTCATGGAAATGTGTTTTATAAATAAAAATAAAGAATCTATTAATTTTAAGTCCGACACAAACCAGTTAAATACAATATATTGCAATTTGTTAAAACATTAAACCAAAACTAGTAATGAACTGATGTCCTCTTTCTTTTTGTTTTGTCCAAATTTATAACAATTTTATCTTACTGTTTGTTAGTTTTGTCTGATTGTTGATAGTTTTTTTTGTCAGTTTCATTTTAACTTAAACACCATGCAGTGTAGGTCTGTTTTGTCCGTCAAATTTTATAACTGAACAGTATATTAATGGTGTAATGAATGTGTATATTGTAAGATACACTATAAAAATAATCCAAACAATCCTTTAAAACAGTACGGTCGATATTCAATTTTCATTTTATATATTTTATATATATATATATATATATATATATATATATATATATATATATATATATATATATATATATATATATATATATATATATATATATATATATATATATATATATATATATATATAAAAGAAAAGATGTTATCGTGGGGACTATAATAAAAAAGAAGAATGCAATTATTGGGCAACCCACAGTAAGATTAGCCATGAAACATGGCTAAAATACGACTACCCGTAGACACACAGTGTTCTCTGGGCTAAGGTGATAGCGGCGAGGTATGTATAAGTACCTCCGCAACGGTTTTTTGGTAGTAACGCTTGCGAATTGTGAGCTACTGCTTAACCAGGTTGCAAATGGTGCCTAGTGCCTCGTTTGCTTCCCCCTTTTTTTTTCAGGATCGCTAGTTCATCGTTGCTGATTCCTCCCGTATTGATGAAGCTGGAAGGCAGAAACACTGTGTGTCTACGGGTAGTCGTATTTTAGCCATGTTTCATGGCTAATCTTACTGTGGGTTGCCCAATAATTGCATTCTTCTTTATATATATATATATATATATATATATATATATATATATATATATATATATATATATATATATATATATATATATATATATATATATATATATATATATATATATATATATATATATATATATATATATATATATATATATATATATATATATATATATATATATATATATATATATATATATATTGTCTAATTGGTTGACAATCGGTTGGGTAATTTCTCGACTTGTTGGCAGGTGTCTTGGTTGGATGTAGTTCTTAGAAGCTGAACTTCGCACACACACACACACAAGGACTGGTTTCTTTAATTTCCTTTAGTGAATCTTTACAGATGAATTGTCGTGGTAATGTCTTCGTACAGGGCTCATTATTGAATGCATAGTGCAATATATTCTTTATTAAAAACTTATTTTGGGTTAAAACCGTCCTGAAGAGACTTTCGTGTGATATTGGTATTGAGAATAAATGATAGTAATCGAATTTATTTCGAAAAGTGATCGGAAAGTCTAATAGATAAGTAATCTTATTATTGACAATAAAACATTTGAGAGCAATAATTCTTTCAAAAATAAAGATATTTTCGATATTAACTGGCAAAGGCATATTTTCTTGGCCAATTATTTATTCTATATTTTTTAATTCGTATAGAAGGTCTTCAGTTTTAATTATACAAGGATGTAGAGTTTGTAATTTTGAAAATGCCAACGAATTCTCGAGATCTTGCAAAATTGAATTTATTATTTCATAAGCGTTTAAAAACAGATTTAATATATCTTTAAGATAGTTTGAATTCCCGCTGTATGTAGTTAACAATAAATGCTATTTGATCGATTTTACTGTCGAGAAATTTTTCATTTAAATTTATCTTTTGAATTGTAGAGTTAAATCTTTCAATCACTTTTTCGATTCGAAATATATAAAATAGGTCTTGTCCGGTATAAAATATTCTTTTATAAAAGTGAGAATGTCTGTTTCAAAATTATTTTCTGAAAGCTGTACTAAAAATCGTCTTTTCTTTTTGAACCAAATTAATGTTTTTATTTTATTAGGACTGTGTTGCAATCTAGAAAATAGTATCTGGTTCGCGTCATAATTAACCGCTGTTTCTAGGATGGGAACACCGACTATAGGGTCTTGGTCGTAATTCGAACGTATAGTGTTATCATCAGCAGATTTTTCTCTAGGTTGTTGACATTCATCGTCGGGTATCATTAACATCGATACGTCATCAGGGCTGCAACGTAACTTATTTTTTTTTAGCTGCGTTACTGACGCTTAAGTTTCTTGTATTGTTGCTTAGAAGATCTCGGGCGCCACCTCTAGTTAATAAGTGGTTAGAGGCCCACCAGTGCCGGTTCGGGTAGCTTTTAAACAGTGGAGAAGTATGGCAGTGTTACAGTTCTTTTAGCTCAGAGGTGGGGAAAATAAATTAAACTCTAATCAACAGTGGTAAAATAAAGGGCAGGTCGTGTTTTCCAAAACTATTTACAAGTCAAAGCTTTATTTTAAATGCAAAAAAATGTCTGTCTTCTTTCGGAAAGTCAGATAGCACGGCGATGTGTAGGTGGCTGGTTGCGACCCCAGCGCTTAAATTGGCTCCAATACGTAGAGTCTCGTCACCGGTTGAGTAAATCTACAGAAAAGAATATTAATAAAACTACTGACTGTTAGGGGGAAGGACGACACCCGACGTTAATAAAAAATAATTTATTCTTAAATAAAAAAAAATAATTAATGTTAGAACTTGTCAATAAATTCAAAAAGAGAAAAGAAAACAAAATTTACTTGACAGTGTTAGTGAAAATAATTTAAAATATTCTGTTAAAGGTTTTAATCAAAATATTAAAACAAATACGGGTGTGTCAATAAGAAAATGTTGTAATAATTATTTAATTAAATTAAAAGTGTTTTGGAGTTAACAAGAAATTGTTCTAATAATTATTTATTTAAATTGAAGGTATGTCGGGGAGAATAAGAAAATACTAAAAAAAATTATTTATTTAAAATTAAAAAGTACGGCGGGGCTAAGGTCTAAATATGACAACGAAAAGAAAATAAAAAAATTAAATTACGAATGAAAGGAAATGCGGAAAACTATAAGAGTTCAGCAAGTGTATCTATAGTGAAGGGATCGGTGTGTAAGAAAACTGCCGGGATGTATCGCACTCACAACTTTCCCACGTTCCTAATCTTCACTGGAGATATACCGCTTAATTATTAAGAGAACTGACAGAAGGATTTACTGCGGATTGTTTCGGAAAAAAAATTAAACTAGAGACAGTTTATCTAAGCACTCAAATGAAGAACCCTTGAATTGAAGCAACTTGCCGGGATTTATCACACTCACAACTTCTACTTATTTTACCAAGTCCTCATTAACGACCCAGATATGTTTTTATGATTTAAAAAAAAATCTAAGAGCTGACCTAATGATTTTTAATTAAATTATCAATAAGGAATTAGAGTTCGAAGCAACGCCGATTTATCACACTCACAGTTTACTTGCTCTTCCAGTCCCTATTGATAACTCAAGCGTATTTGATTTTGCAGGATTTGCTATTGATATTTAAAATATATTTTTTTTACTTTGGAATTTATTCAAACTATTTAGACCTTGCCACGGTACAGGATTCCTTCTGCAAAAAAAAAATTAAAACCAAATAAACAATGAATTCTCGATACTCAATACTATACCATACTAATCCTGAAGGTTACCTGCGGGCGGTTTCGAGTGACGGTTAATTAAACGACGGAGGACGGGCAGGCTTCCCAACTGCTAGGCGGCGGCGGTGTTCGGGGCTGGCTTGCTTGGCGGACTGGTGGCGACTGGCTGCTGCTGGTGCTGGTGCTGAGCTGGTGCTGGTGTTGTCGGTGGTGGTGGTGGTGTAGGAACTGTCTTCCTCTCAGTGCCAGATCTAAATGGCCAAGGCGGTAGATCTAACGCAGGAAACAGATTCGATTGGTAGCCATCATATTATGATAACATGACGTCATAATTTCGTGCCTGCCGAAACCTATTCCGCGACCTATTTCACACTATAGCCGATTTTAAGCGAATAACAGGAATAACTTAAGGTTATGGTTCAGGTTCACAAACAAACAATGCTTAAACGTCAGTTGTCAAACGATCAATAAACAAAGGACGTTTAAATCATTAATATCTCTGTTTTATCAACGTCAATCATAACCAATTATACGCTTTTAAAATCGACTAATCTAGCAAGATTTTTAGTATATTTTCGTAAATTTTTCTATTTAATATTTTTGCAAGAGAAATTAAAAACTGGTAATATGTTTAATTAAATTTTTATTAGACTAAAGGAAAAATAATTTTTAAAATTTATAATATATCTTAACATAAAAACTCAACACTTAAATAATCTAAAACAAAATAAAACTTAGGTACGTAATATTAATAAAGAAAAATAGTTTAATACATTATTCCGAATCGGAATATTCATCAGATTTTTTATACAAGTGATTACTGTTATGGTATGACAACAACTCATTGGATATATTTATGTCATAACATTTTGTTTCGATATATTCTTTGCTATGCATTAGTCCAACTATAGTGCTTGTTGACAACGAATTCCTCTGCTTCGTCTTAAGCAGATTAATTTGGGAAAACTTTCTTTCTGCATTTGCAGAAGAATGCGGCAAACTTAGCAAATTAAATGCAAAGGATGAAAGAAAAGGAAACATTTGTGTTTTATCGGCATATTTTTGTTCCTGGACTTTTAACCAAAAGGATATTACGGACTCATCGTTTTTAAAGTTTCGAATTAGATCTGAATTTTTAAGAAGTCTCCACTCATTGTCCAATTTTTGAAGGTCATTTGGCAAAACTAAATTAGGAAAATGTACGGCTAGAGGGACTAGGGACTCATCATTACATTTTATTATATATTCCGGATTTATTAAACACATAGATTTTAATACATCATTGTCAAAATCATATCTTTTAGATAATTGCTCTGCGGCCTCTATATAAAAATCTAGACAACGCACGCGAAGAATATGTATTTCTTCAGCCGATAAATTATTATTTAGGATATATTGAATAAGATTGGCTCCTAAATATATGTTTTCGATATTCTTATAATTCTCTGGATTTTTGACATTTATTTTTTGTAATTGGGTATTACTTTCCAGTACATTTTTTTTAATAAAATAATCCAGAAGGGTTCTGTAAGTTTCACACATGCGAATATGTAGATTGTATAATTTTGGTTCGATCGACTGCATCTCCTTATTTAAACTATTAAAAAGCCAAGGTTAAAGGGTCTTGAAGGACTTTCGTAACATTTTCTGCTGCCAACAATTTGTCATTTGTGACAGCATCAATGAAATAGAGTTTCAGGGCATTAAATTGTTCAATAATCCTACACAACCGCCTCTAAAGAAAGCCAACGGGTTTGAGAAGGGTGGAGAATTTTTGTGGATTTTGTATGCGTAAAATTTTGAAATTCCTTTAAGGTTTCAATTCTTTTGGGACTATTTGCTATGTAATTATAAATATTTCTAATGCAGTCTTCAACTGCCCTTGGAAGTTTCATACAAGCACTTGATGAACATAACGCAAAACTGTGACAAACACATTTCATTAAAAAAATATGAGGAATGTCAGTTTTTAACTTTGCCATTACTGATTCGTGTGCCCCAGCCATCACATTGGCACCGTCTGAGGCAAACCCAATTAAGTTGTTTAAAAAAGGTACATTATTTTTATTTAGAAAACTTACAATCTCCCTGTAAATATCAACAGCTTTGGAACTCTTCATTGCTATTAGAGTTAGGAATCGATCTCGTATTCTAAAATAAATAAATAATAACTTGATATATTCGAGACTAAAATATAAAATAACACTTACTGGTTGCCATCAAAATATCGGCAAATTAAAACTAAATGTTTAGTAGTGCTTAAATCAGTGGATTCATCTATTATTAGTGAGAATTTGACAGATTTCAATATGTCATAAATATTTTTCGAACTTAGCTTCCCAATAATATTTTTTACTATAGATGTGGTCTTGGTCCGACTGCATTTAATATTTTTGGCCACATCTGAGTCGCAACAAACTTTTGCCAGAAGTTGAGGAATGTGTTCCGTGACAGTAAATGGCAAATTATGTTCTGCCACAAAAGCAGAAATATACAAATCTGCTCTTTTTGTGGCCACATCTAAACTCGTCCGTTCTTTTCCAGTTTTTATAAGCGATGTTAAAGTTGGCTGTTTTTTTACGGACTTGCATTTTTTCCGATGTGCCTCGCTGTCTTGATGTCTTACAAGTTGTAATTTTCCCGAACTGACGCTAATATTCTTTTGGCAAACTTTGCAATAGCCCTCAGTATCCGTTTTCCCAGGTGCTAGCCAGTTTTTAAATTCTGATTCCCATTCGCTCTTAAATTTTTGTGCATATTTTTTTCTTTTGGCCTTACTGGAGGTAGGAACCGATGGGTCATCAGTTAAATAAGATTCATCAGAACTAATAATATAATACATTATAGATGCTTAGAATGTCGATATTGCATATTAAATTACTTACCTCATGGTCGAAATATTAAAAAACCGCACACAAGCTACGTTACACGATACGAATCATATACGAATCAAAATCAAGGGATAAAATATATTACTATTACCCTTGATTATGTATACTATTACGAAACAACATGAACTCAGCTGGCTGGTCGTTTCTGGGAATTCCCGAAATATCTACTTCAATGTGACTTGTGACGTCTGCATAGAGATGAGGCACCGAATCGTTATTCATAGTTTTATCGATAGTAGATTTATAATAATATTATAATATGCTTTTTAATTTATTTTTTAAAAATTCGATAATAAATTCTGGTAACTTTCTCTACTTTTAAAATTGCGGTAGAATTAGTAGTCTGTGCGGTAGAACGGTAACTACTAGGGTGAAAACGGTAGGTCTGGCAGCACTGCTTCCTCTGGCTGGCGCGTCGCTTCTTATTTTCCCCAGTCCTTCCCTCCAGTTGAGAACCGTCGTGGTGGCGGCGTGTGCCGAGCGGTGTGCGCGTCTCGATACCCGATCTAGTACCAGCGGTTGTGCCAGCGGTACCAAGCGGGCTGCATCGAGCGCGTGGAATGCGTTCAATTATTAATTAGCGCATTTTAAGCTAATTAATGAGTTCGGTTCGTACGTTAATCCAACAAATATAATTTTATTTAAAAAGTACTATCTTCTCGAAAAAGAATCAAATTTTTCTAATGTATGGAAGAGTAGAAAGATAAATTAAATAAAGAAAATTCGTAATCGGCGATAAAAATAGAAAAAGAAAATTAAATATATATAAAAAAAATAGTAACTTCGTTACAGGGTAGTTGTCATTATTTTCCTTGTTTTTCTCGCGGTTTATTTCTTCCTCTAATTCTCTATTAAACTCATTAACATAATTTTTTAAACTAAAAGTTTCAGGGATATCTTCATGTGTTGTCGTGTGTAACTCTTTTATTGACAGCGCATCCGCATTCGTATTCAGTTTGCCATTTTCATAGATGACTTTGTAATCAAACTCTTGAAGCTTGATACGCCATCGTAGTAGTTTACTATTCGGATCTTTTAGTGAAAACAGGCATTTAGAATTTAGAATTTAGTTTATTCATTCTAAACGGGCGAAAATACTTTGTAATCCAGACTAAGTAAAGGCACTCCTCTATTGTCGAATCATTTTTCTCGGATAACTATCTCTCCGTTTTTTATGTTAGTTTTTATTTTTACAACTTGTTCACATCTCGGAATTACTGTAATAGAATTTAACTCGTGTTCTGCTGTCTGGAATTGTAATTTAATTCTTATATAAGGTGTTACTAGGTATCCGGTCTCAAACTTAAGATTAGCTTGCAAAAACTTTAAGTTGTCGAGTCCTATAAGACCATCAAATATATTATGGAATTTAAATAAATAAAATTTTAATTTTTGACTACCGGGTAATTTAAAAATTTTTGAGGCTGGTATTAATGCACTGTAATGATGCGCCGACTGTTGAAAAACAGTTGTAACAACAAATGGATCACTTTGAATAAAATTTGGAAAATATTTATATGTTAAATCTGGATCAATAAACGATTTAGTAGATCCGGAATCAATTAAAAATTTTAAATTGTGCTCTGGTAGAATAATATAGGCTAGTTCGTTAGAACCATTGTTATTGAATGATATTAACGTCGCACAGTGGTTCCAAATGGTGAAAAAGTGCCGCATGTGATTTTATTGACGTAATTTTTTGGTTAAGGGATACATTTTGTAATTGATTTTGTGGAGCACAAAGTTAAGGTTTCAAGGTATTAAAAAACGTCAATTGTGAAGTCCTTAACATCCGCAAGACCAGGACGACTGCTCTACATCCACGCGTCAGCTGCACTCGTCTATTTATAACTGCCCTCTCTAGGCCACAGCCGCCGGCATTTATACCTACAGCTAAAGATTTCTAGAATAGTCCATAGATCGTTAGGTGCATAGAGAAGGTTTCGAATGTTCTCGTATGTACTACTCCATTCCAGTGGGACTGATTCTTCTCGAATCTTCGAATGAATCATTACGGTGTCTATTCTTTAATGCGATGTTAAGGTCATCCGAGGGCGGGTCATATAGTTAGGTTAGGTCGAGTCCACACCGGTCCGCAACAATATGAATCGCTAGTTAAAAAACGCCATCTTCAAACTCATTAGTAATTTCGTCATCTTCATCATTACTTGTAGAATTGTCCTCGTCAGAACTCATATCGTACCCCACACCCATCATGGCATTGTTAACAGAAGTTTCCTCATTGAGAAAATCTAGAGGTAGGTGTACATTTTCATCCTTTTTTGTTGTCTTTGATGACAACTGAAATTTCTTGAATAAGAAAAAAAATAGAGGATCAGATGTTAACATAAATCTGTTAAAAATATCTTCTAAAGTGTCTTTCCGAGAAATCTTTCTTGAGAAGTCTGTACGATATCTTTTAAAATCTTTGTTGCGGGCTTCTTGTGGTTCTTCACTCAATGCTCCTAAATTAAAAAAATAATTATTGTTTGGTATTAAAGTTTTATAAGAAATATTACCTACTGGAATGAAAGGAAATTGTTTCATGTACTCATGTCCATGGTAAAGAATTTTATGAACTGTTGGTGAAAACGTGAATTGAGGGTAGGTTTTGTGAAAAAGTTCAGCAGTTTCACGTGCATAATTTTCATAAGACTAGGTGAAATAATTCTGTTGCATGATATCGCAGCTAGGACATTCGAGAACCTTTCAATAATAGGTAACTCTATCCCTATAATTTCAGATGTAACTTTCGAGTTCTGAAAAAATCTCCTAGCTGTATTTCCGTCATGGGAAATACCAAACCCTGGTTTTGGTTTACCTATGTTTAAACCAGTTTTCTCTTTAAACTGCTTTTGTATTATTTTCTTTTTAGTTTCTTGTTCTTCCTTCGTAGAGGCCAGTCTAAAAATAAATTAAATATAGATGGATAATGCTTGCTGACATGACAGCAACTTCTCATCTAACTAACAATGTTTAATTCTCTCATCTAATATACATACTTGTATGAACATCTCAGTAAAAATTCCATGGAGTTAATTTTTGCATGCAAAGGGGATATTCCAAATTTCAAAACATCTGCATTGGTTTGGCTCGGCAAATTATTCAAAGTTTTTGGTCCAGCTAGACAAACAGGGCATCTCTAAAAGTACAATAGGTTTAAACATTATGCAGAACGTTTAAAATATTATATTTAACAAAAACTCATTTACCGAAGTTGCAGCATTTTTGCACACCGCATTTATTATTTTTCCATCTACCATTGTACAGTAGAATCTATGTCTTACAATGACTTCTACGCTATTATTAATTTTTATTTTACTGTCCTGTATTTCCACAATTTCCTTCATCACTCTAGAATACTCTGTTAGAATTGTATTACAGTCTTCCTTGCAGAAAGCCATTCTCATTGGTCGACATAAGCTAAAATTTGAAAATGTAATTTATCAAAAATATAGATTAGGCTCCTCTAAATTTTAGTCTAAGTCTAATAACTCGACGAAATTTAGATAAAATTTGATATGTAGTAACATATTGATGTAGTTGGTAGGAAAAAAGGCTCATAAATTTCAGGTTTCCAATCTTCATACCCTTTTTCTTCAGTATTTTTAATCATACCTTGAAGAATTTGGATTTTCATTTCTCCAAATAACATCTTTCTGAGAATCATCTCTATATGTTAATGAAATAGGCACCAAGTTAGTACAAAATACAGTAGAATCGGAATTTTTTGGATCCATAAATCGTTGCTTAAATTCCGAATGACCACTGCTTCCATCCATACCCCATTTATGTGTGGCAATAATATCACATGTACTATTCAGATCAGCAATATTAATTAAAATTCGTTCTACTGTGGTATCAACTAAATTCTGAAGAGTCACTTTGGCTTCAGTTTCAGTAAAATCATCAGGATTTAAAACAGGATAGCTCAACTTTTTATATTTAAGTATCTCCTGGTATGAAGGGTACAGATCCGTACCTGATGAAAAACATAATGAAAAAAAAATATTTATACAAATTGCGAATTAATGAAATTACCTTTCCAAAGTGTAGCTGACCGCATGTTTTGGTACTGTGCCTTTGTTTGCTTGCTGTTGATTATAAATAAAGCGATGGCTTCATTAGGCGTAAATTTTTTGGGAATATTTTGTTTCAAAGCAGCCAACACTTCATCCGGAGAAGAAATAGCGGCTGAAACTGCTTTAGCAACATCATGTTTATGTTCCTTTTTAAGAACAGAAACGGTTGCGTAAGCAAGGATGTCTGAAGTATAATTATCTCTGACGTCTATAATGAAGTAATTAATATATGGTAAATATAGTGCACAAAATTGAAATAAAAAAATCACCTTTCGTAGTTCTGTCTTTTTGAGATTTGGATAAATCGGAAAAACATTTTCTTTTTGATGGACCGGGTTCCGATTCCCCAGTGCATTGCGAATTTTCGTCTATAGCTACGTCACTGAATACATTTTTTTCTAACCAATCAGCATTTTTCAAACTAAATTTTTGCCAAGAATAAGATGAATCTCTCCATCTTTTGGTCCATTTTTGAATGAATGATTTGAGTATTTTCTTAGCGGATTCTTGCTCCGTGTTCTAAATATCACAATAATTTGTTAGATATAGGGTAATTTCTTCCAAAATTTCAGCTTCCGATTTTCCATTGAATCCATTCTTAAGAAAACGTTTACATAAATTCATACGACTGATGTTACCTAAAATGTCAGGTGTTTTTCAATTGATGAATAGACGCCAGAAGAAATCACCAAATGGTTTTTTTTTCTATCTGGCATCAAAAAATTTAGTTTAGTGTAAATTGGGAGTCGTCAGTTCGTATTTTTTTTAAAACGAAAACAATATTAGGTAAAAATTCTATTTCGGCGGGTCATGGCGGGTCTAAATATTGAACTAAAAAGTAGGAGGGATTCTACAAAGACTTTAAAAATAAAAACTAGCGTGGTGTTCGGTGGTGCTCTTAAGATATTTGAACTCAAAAGACAAATACAGATTATTAAAAAAATACTTACCTGAATGGCCTTCCTCCATGGTTGTATTACTTTTCACACGTATTATTGTTGATTTAATAAAACACCAAAATTTATCTTAATGCTGACCTCCGTTCGATTTACAAAGTGTACAAATGATAAAA